TGGAGCGGGTTACCAACGTCATCGTCGAATCCGTCATCTTTCGCAACTGCACCATGCGCACGTACGTATAGCACGCGATCAAGCCGAGGCAATATCGTGCACAACGCGTCTCATCGCTACAGGCTAGCCGCAACCACACGGTGCGTCGTTCCGCCATTCGCCTGCAGCCACCAGCCCCTCCCTGCAACTCCCCGCTCCCACTCATCCGTCCCTTGCGTCCTCCCCTCCCCCGGCCCTCCTACCCTCCCATTCGTCGCAGCGGCACGATCAAGGTGCGGTCGGGGAAGGGGCTGGAGGTGAAGGACTGGCGCGACGGTAACGCGGTGGAGGTGTGGGGGTCGACCAAGGTGTGGATCGACCATTGCGGGTTCGAGAAGGCGCTGGACACGCAGGTGAACATCGTGGTGGGGTCCACGGACGTGGCGGTGACCAACAACTACTTCGTGAACCAGGACGAGGTGATGCTCATGAGCAACAACGACGCCGCCACCACGGACGACAACATGCGCGTCACCGTCGCACTCAACGTCTTTGGCCAGAACTGCAACCAGCGGATGCCGCGGTGCGTGCTCCGCCTTCTCCCCACCTTGCGTACTTCAATTCGTTGGAAATTTAAATGCCGACGCATTATTTCTAGGGTGGCTCGTCTCCTAGCCTCAATTCTATCCGAAATCCTCCTCTCGACGCGCTCGTCTGGCAGGGGGAGACACGGGCAGTTCCACGTGGCGAACAACTACTACCCGTACGGCTGGGGCATCTACGCCATCGGCGGCTCCGCTGGCGCGCGCTTCCGCAGCGAGGGGAACTACTTCGTGGCGGGGAGCGTCAAGGAGGTATGAGGGGCAACAAGCGCAGCTATTGAGACTCACTCCCACGCCTGTAGCTGACGTCCGCGTCAAGACAAGCCGACATGTTAGTCGTGCCTGCGGCCCTTGTCTGATTTATTTTTTCCCCCGTTGCCGCGTGGTGAGCGCAGGTGACGAAGCGGCAGGACACGCACGGGTGGGAGTCGAAGCAGATCAGCGACAAGTCTTGGACCAAGATCAAGGTGTCGAGCGCGGGGTGGGAGAAGTGGCCGTGGCAGTCCATCGGCGACCACTTCGAGAACGGCGCCTTCTTCGTCGAGTCGGGCGCCAACGTCTTCCAGCCCGCGTACGCCTTCACTCCCGTCGCCGCCAAGGACGTTCCCAAGGCCACCGACAGAGCCGGCCCGCTCTTCCGCCGCTATAAGAAGCAGCAGTGACGTGGCAAGTCGCAACCCGTTTGGGGAGTGCGAGTTGAATAAAGCGCTGTTACTTCGTTGGGCTTACACATGCCTCGAGGGGGCTCAGTTGACATTCGCGTCCCTTTTACGGGTGCTTCCGTTGCGGCGCTAGTACTCCTATGAGTTGCACTTAGTGAGTTTCCATGTGGCTTGGCTTGTAGGAAGTTGGTTTAGTCTACTACGTAGGTAGAAGCCCTTATGGCTTTTATATATGCCTTGGTTGCAAAGCCAGACGCTGTAGCATAAATTAATGCGTTGTTACTTCGACGGATGTAATTGGAATGATTGGTCATATGTTCCCACCATGTTGGGATGTATGTGTATTGTGGCCTAAACCCTGAATAAAGGTTACAAACCGTGCTCTGTACTATCATTCTACGTGCACTGTGCTCAGTGCCCCTACCAACAGCAGCACCATATCCATCACAGCTGCAGGCTCTGCAGTGCCACCTTGGCAGCCAGCGCCGCCCGGCTCTGCTCTGCATACTGACGGGCCAATACTACCCGCCTCATGGTGTCGGTCTCCTCCATGGCGGCCAGGCGCTTCTGCAGCAAGCCATGCAGCTCCGCTGCCGACGCGCCTGGGAGGGAGGGGAGAGGAGGGCAGTGTGGAGGGGGCTTGGGACGAATGAGGGGCACAGGTGGTCACGTACAGCCAATCACAATCACAGGGCCATGAATGTTAGCATTAGAGGGGGCAGGAGGAGACGGCTGAGTGTAGCATGGCATGGCATGGCATGGCATGTGTCACCTGCTACTGGTTGCAGAGCAGCGAAGGTCACTAGCTCCTCATACGATGGCAGGTATGCCCGGTAGCCCCGCACTTCTGGGGCTTCAACCGAACGCACGCCTCCCAATGCCTCCCTGCTCTCACCGCCCTCCTCAACGCCACCTGCCTTTTCACTCTCACTGCTGCTGCTGCTGCTGCTGCTGCTACTGCCGCTGCTGCCAGCAGGCCCCACGAAATCAGGGTCGAGGGACATGGTGTTGGGGTCGACAGCCACTGTGCTCTGGATGGCGGGCGTCGGCAGCCCCTGGAAGCCCAGGAACCGGGCGGCAGACTCCAGCTGTTCGGGTGGCAGCTGGTCGGGCTCCACGCCATCCTCATCGGGCAGGATGGACCACGCTCCCGCCGACGCCGATGGCGATGGCGATGCCGATGGTGATGGTGATGCTGTGCTGCTGCTTCCACTGTTGCTGCTCGAGGCAGCTGCCTGTGGCGCGGTGGCAGTGGACTGCTGTGTAGCAGCAGCAGTGGCTCCTGGAGCTGCTGCAGCTGCTGGTGCTGGTGGTGCGGGTGCAGCAGCAGGGGAGGCGGTGACGGTGTCCACCCAGCGCAGAGCCCTCTCAAGCGGGGTCTGCAGAGGCACGTCCGAGGTGGTCTGCAGAGGGGGAGGGGGGCGATTCACTCATGAGCCAAACGTAGAGGCAAGCAGCACTGCGTCATGCACGTGAGCCTCTCGTGAATGATGCCACCACTCACTCTTTCAGTGCAACCTACCTTGTGTTTTCAAGGTGACAAATGCCGTACCTTGATCTTGATCTGCAGCTGCTGCACGTCCCTCAGCAGCGCCCTCACTTCCGCCACAGCCCCCACCACCTCCTCCCCCGCTCCCCCCCCTGCCCGCTCGTCCCTGACCACCGTGACCCGCCCCCTGAGGAAGGGCTCGACCTGCGAGAGCTGCTGCAGCTTGATGCGCCCCACGCCCCTCACCGCCACCAGGGCGCCCACCTGCAGCTTGCGCACCTGGGGGAGGAGGGGCAGGGAAGGGCAGCGGAGGGCGGGTGAATCAGGAGAGCAGGACAAAGACATGGTGAGAAGGGGAGGGGTGCGCGGGGGAATGAGCAGGAGGGGACAGACAAGGCAGAGGCAGGAGGAGGGGGAGGGCAAGGAGTACGCACGCTCTCCACATGGGCGAGGCAGCCGTAGGAGGCGACGAACGTCATGCCCTGGCCGTCGTCCGCCCGCATGGGCTCCAGCACCACGTGGCCCAGCAGCCCGTGGCTGCGCGATAGCACCTGCGGGGCGTGCAGGGAGTGCATAATACATGAAGCACAATGTGGTTGGTGGTGATGGGGTGGTTGCAGGCAGAGCATGGAAGGATCTGCAATATCGTTTAATTATAGGTTGTTGTGATGGACATAAGGTTTGTTTCGTTGGTAGGATAGTTTGGTGAGATGGCTTTGCCGGAGGAGCTCTTGGGGGTGGAGTAGAGTGGTCGTTGACCCCATAACGCCCTGGCAGGCCTGACTTTCCCCTCCCACTCACCCCCTTGCACCCGCCCCACCGCCCCCTGCCACTGACCCCACTGCCCCGTGCCACTGACCCCACTGCCCCGTGCGACTGACCCCACTGCCCCGTGCGACTGATCCCACTGCCCCGTGCGACTGACCCCACCGCCCCGTGCGACTGACCCCACCGCCCCATGCGACTGGCCCCACTGCCCCATGCGACTGACCCCACTGCCCCGTGCGACTGACCCCACCGCCCCGTGCGACTGATCCCACTGCCCCGTGCGACTGACCCCACCGCCCCGTGCGACTGATCCCACTGCCCCGTGCGACTGACCTCCTCCAAGAGGGCGAGGTAGCGCGCCTCGTACAGGTGCAGCGTCTTGGACGACCCGGGTAGGAACACCTGCCGCCCATGGACCACAAACGAAGAAAGGACAATGTGTGTGAATGGTCAAGCTCTGTAGGTCCGTGGGTCGCAAGGCCACGACTGTTGCTGATCCCCTTGACCCCGCTAATCCGCCTCCGTTGACCCCCTCGAATCACCTCCGTTGACCGCGTTGACTTACCTCGGCGGGGTTGAACGGCAAGCAAGGCAGCTCCATCACAATCCCCTCTTCGCTGCTGGCGTGAGTGCTGTCTCTGCTGCCTGCGCGTGTGCATGCAGCCAGGAGGGCAACAGGATGCCGAGGAGTGGTAAGAGCATACTCAGATGGTGAGTGAGAGCGATGCATTGATGCGTGACGGCACGGAACGGAGCACGGTGAGGGCGGAGAGAGAAGCCGGTGCACGGAACGAAGGAGCTCTGGCAGTGAGGTGAGAGGTGGAGAGGAGAGGTGGAGGGGGGAATGCAAGCAGGAAGCACCTTACTCGGCTCTACGGGGAACTTGCTCGCGCGGTCATCGGCAGCTTCCACGGAGACTCGCCGGGGCCGTCGGAATCGACCCGGCTGCTGCTGACGTTTCAACCAATGCAACGGCACTCGCGAGAGCGAGGAGAGAGGCACGCGGCATTGGGAGGATGCGGCGGGAGAAGAAGGACGGGGGAACATGGCTGGCGACGAAGGAATCTGGCACCTGTTTGAGAAGGAATCCGCGAGAGAGCCATATTGCCGACTTCTACGCACTGAAGGGGCTGGCAGCGGGCAAGATAGTGGAGTGTGGAGGCGGCTGCAACGAACGAGGTCCATGGCGATCGCGATCACGATGGCCTTGCGTTCCGCGTGCTACGAAAACGACGCTTTGAAGAGGATCAGTGAAACGACTAGACACGGATGCCCAGGAACGCGGGGTTAATGCCGTGCTTGCATGGAAACCTGGGGACTGCTGAGAATGAAGAGCTGCGAAGGAGAAAGTGGGCAGAAGGATGGAGCTGGGAGGAAATGTGCGAGACTGCAGTTTTGGCGGGAAAGCCAGAGCCGCTCGCGTGGCTGCTTCTGGATGAATGATGGTCCTCATTGATTAGGTAGACGCCGACCGGCGTTCGTGCATCATCGTTATAATCGAATGTCGGAAAAACTCGAGCTGAATAATACAATCCGAAGTGAGTGTTCAGGCCTAATTGTGCGAGTTGCATCTTGTCAACACAGAATACTAGAAGCATTACATAATTACAACTCATCCTTCCTCTCGTCCTCATCCCCCTCTTCCTCCTTTCTATTAGCAATCTCCTCCGCTTCCGCCAATTCTTCCGCCAAGGGAGGAGCTGCAGCGGCCTTCTTGGCTCCCTTGTGTTTCCTGACGAAGGCGAGCAGACTGGCCTTGGAGTTGTCGCCAGTGTAGGGCACCGCAACTCCCGCGGATGTGTAGAGGTAGAAGGTGGGCAGCGCCTTGATGTCAAACTTATCAGATGGAATGTCGTTGGCGGAGAAGTCCTGGAAGGGAGGAAGTGGGGGTCATTTGGGCACAATACAGGGCATGCAGAGAAGCAAGTGCACATTGGCATCATGAAACTTGGGTTGCAGTGCCGTTTGTGGCTGCGGCTGCGGCTGCGGCTGCGGGGGAGGGGAGTAAAGCGATCGCAAAAGGCCATGAGATCATCAGGATTGAACACTAGAAATAGTGTGCTTTGGGGAAGCGTTGTGCATGCATGCATGTGTGTCACTCACCATCTTAGCAACAACGACGTCCCTCTGGCCAGAGAGGGCTGCTGCCACGTCCTTGAGCACGGGTTCCAGGTCAGCACAGGCCGAGCACCACGGCGCGTGGAACTCCACCAGCACTGGCGTTGGGGGGCATGGAGAAGGGGGGGGGGCGGGAAGAAAAGGGAATGCAAAGTTGGAAGAACTTGGAGATTTCAAATTTCAAGAAACGGCATAAGGGCATGCAGGGATGTATGACGTTCAGAGTAGTGAGGGCATGCACTTGATGGAACTACGCTGATGGCAGTGAATGGCTGGCGCATGGTGACAGCACAGTTGCACCAGCACATCAGCAACAGCAGGGGCGAGTGCAGGCAGCGCTGACCGTTCTTCCTGGAGTTGAGCACTTGGTCCCTGAAGCTGTTGGCCACCAGCTTCTTGACCGCCCCCGAGTCCGACTCCGGCACCGCCTCACTCTTCAGCACCCGCTCCGCCCGCCCCGCCTGTTCTCATGCAATGGAATGACGGCCAGGTGGGAGAGCACGTGGGGAGGAGAGGTCACTCGCTGCCGATACAAGCAAGGAAGGGCGCATGCAACATGGCCCGCATCGATAACCCACACCCGACAGCCGACAGCCGACAGCTGACGACACCCGACAGCTGACAGCCGACAGCCGACGATAGCTGACAGCCGACGACACCCGACAGCCGACGGCCGACGACACCCGACAGCCGACAACCGACGACAGCTGACAGCCGACGACAGCCGACAGCCGACAGCCGACGACAGCCGACAGCCGACAGCCGACAGCCGACAGCCGACAGCCGACAGCCAACAGCCGACAGCCGACAGCCGACAGCCGGCAGCCGACAGCCGACACCCGTCAGCCGGCACCCGACAGCCGACACCCGACAGCTGACACCCGACAGACGACAGCCGACAGCCGACACCCGACACCCGACAGCAAACAGCCGACAGCCGACAGCCGACGACAGCCGACAGCTGACAGCCGACAGCCGACAGCCGGCAGCCGACAGCCGACAGCCAACACCCATCAGCCGGCAACCGACAGCCGACACCCGACAGACGACAGACGACACCCGACACCCGACACCCGATAGCCGACGTCCGACACCCGACAACTGACACCCGACAATCGACACCTGATAGCCGACACCCAACACCCAACACCCGACACCCGACAGACGACAGCCAACACCAGACAGCCGACAGCCGACACCCCGACACCCGACAGCCGACACCCGACAGCCGACACCCGACAGCCGACACCCGGCAGCCAACACCCGACAGCCGGCACCCGACACCCGACAGCCGACACCCAACACCCAACACCCGACACACGACAGACGACAGCCAACACCCGACAGCCGACATCCGACATCCGACAACCGACAGCCGACACCCGACAGCCGACAGCCAACACCCAAAACCCAAAACCCGACACCCGACAGACGACAGCCAACACCCGACACCCGACACCCGACACCCAACAGCCGACTACCGACACCCGACAGCCGACACCCGACAGCCGACACCCGACAGCCGACACCCGACAGACGACACCCGACAGACGACAGCCGACACCCGACACCTGACAGTTGACACTCGACACCAGGCAGCTGCCACCCGGCAGCTGGCAATCCAACAGCAATACCCCCACAGCCGAGTGGGCGTGGGGGGAAGCAGAGGATGTGGTGGGAGGGAAAGGGGCAGGCCAGGGTGGAGGGGATAGGGCAAGGGGGAAGCAAGGCAAGACAGGGAGGGAGAGAGGAGGGGCATGGCGGATGCAGGGCTGTAATACTGCCACGTGGCAAGAGGGAGGCACATGAGGGCGACCTGAGGGGAGGGCAGAGGCGAGGGAGGCAGGACCTGAGGGAGGGCGGACCTGTGCTGAGAAAAGTTACCTGGAAGTCAGCAAGGAAGGGGGCGATGTCGGAGGGGGCGATGTGAGTGCGGATGAACTTGGCGTCGTAGCGCGGGTCGTGGATCACCATGGCAGGCGTGTCGCTCTGCGCCAAGCCGAAGTACTGTACAGGGTGGCAGGGTGTAAGGCGGAGGGAGAAGGGGATGTGCAACGGGTGGTGAGAGTATGGGGAAAGAGTTTGGTATGTGTGAGTGAGGACACACAGGGAAGCTGAGGGTGCTGGCAGTTGGAGGCAGAGGAGCCATGGACCTCGCACACGAGATCGTGTTGTGATCATCCTCGAATAGCCGCATGACTTCACATGATATCAGCACATGCCCCTCACACACACCCCACCTTGAGCACATGCCCCTCACACACACCCCACCTTGAGCACATGCCCCTCCCACACACCCCACCTTGAGCACATGCCCCTCACACCCCACCTTGAGCACATGGCGCTGGCACCCACCTTGAGCGCATGGCGCTGGCACCCACCTTGAGCACATGGCGCTGCCACCCACCTTGAGCGCATGGCGCTGGCACCCACCTTGAGCACATGGCGCTGGCACCCACCTTGAGCGCATGGCGCTGGCACCCACCTTGAGCACATGGCGCTGGCACCCACCTTGAGCACATGGCGCTGGCACCCACCTTGAGCACATGGCGCTGGCACCCACCTTGAGCACATGGCGCTGGCACCCACCTTGAGCGCATGGCGCTGGCACCCACCTTGAGCACATGGCGCTGGCACCCACCTTGAGCGCATGGCGCTGCCACCCACCTTGAGCGCATGGCGCTGGCACCCACCTTGAGCGCATGGCGCTGCCACCCACCTTGAGCGGGAAGGGCAGCAGCAGCAGCAGCAGTTAGATAGAGCAGCACCCACCTTGAGCGCATGGCGCTGGCACCCACCTTGAGCGCGTGGTCGTTGGTGGCGGCCTCCCCGATGACAAGGCGGATGCTGTCGGGCTGCTCCTGCGCCGCCTCCACGTACCGGCTGCGGAACTCAGGCGCGTCCGGCAGGCTGTACGACAGGAACAGCAGCGACTGGAGGGGGGGTGGCGAGGAACAGAGAGGGGAAGGGAGAGCTTGCTGTGGCACAGGGACACAGGTGAAAGCATGGCATGGCATGGCATGGCATGGCATGGCAACCACCCAGAGTCACGCAGGCAGCAACAGCAGCAGCAGCAGCAGCAGTTAGATGGAGTGGGAAGGGCAGAGGGCTGAGGAGAACAGGAGGGCGCACCTTGTTGGTGGGCGCCTGGAAGACCTGGGCGAGGAAGGGGCGGTCCTTGGGGTCCTGGCTGAACTCCACCACACGCGGCACCGCATGCCGCTCTATGAACACCCTCAGGGCCGCGGGGGTGAAGTCCTGTAAGCAAGGGGGGTGCAGGAAGCACAGGATGCATGCAGCAAGGAATACGCATGACCCTTGACCTGCCTGGTGACAGCATCACCACGCGGCGCATGGCATGACATGGCATGGCGCTGTGTGCGTGAACTCAACACTGAGCCAGTGAACTCAACACTGAGCCAGTGAACTCAACGCTGAGCCAGTGAACTCAACGCCGAGCCAGTGAACTCAACGCTGAGCCAGTGAACTCAACGCCGAGCCAGTGAACTCAACGCTGAGCCAGTGAACTCAACGCTGAGCCAGTGAACTCAACGCTGAGCCAGTGAACTCAACGCTGAGCCAGTGAACTCAACGCTGAGCCAGTGAACTCAAGCAAACGAAAGCACAGGGGGCGTGGGGAAAACCGGGGGGGAGAGGCCAGCTGCGCCCCTTTGATCTCCGGACCCACAGATTCACCTCCCCCTTGGCCCCCGCCCCACCTCAGAGTCGGAGAACCCCTCGTCGAAGTGCTTGAGCAGGCGCACAGCAGGGGCGGAGAGCGCGGGCCCCTTGGCGGGCAGCAGGGCAGCGTCCGTGGTGTGCTTGAAGACATAGTCCGTGCGCAGGTCCCGCGCCACCGACACAAACGTGTCGAACTCGGGAGAAGAGAGAGAGGTGAACAGACCCACCTGCGGGGGTTGGTGGTGGGGGAGGGGGGGGGGGTTGCAGGGATGTGGTGTTGAAATGTGGCAGAAGGGCAGAGTGCGGGATGGAGAGAAGGGGGGTGGTGGCAATGAAGTCCAAGGACGGTTGGCTGGAGAGCGGCAGCAAGGGAGGTGAAGCAATGAGAAGAGAGGCACATCTCGCACAGGCGCACAGGCGACCACGAGGAGGCACTCACCACTAGGAGAGGAGGCACTCACCACGAGGAGGCACTCACCACGAGGAGGCACTCACCACGAGGAGGCACTCACCGCGAGGAGGCACTCACTGCGAGGAGGCACTCACCGCGAGGAGGCACTCACCGCGAGGAGGCACTCACCACGAGGAGGCACTCTCCGCGAGGAGGCAGTCACCGCGAGGAGGCACTCTCCGCGAGGAGGCACTCACCGCGAGGAGGCAGTCACCACGAGGAGGCACTCACCACGAGGAGGCACTCACCGCGAGGAGGCACTCACCGCGAGGAGGCACTCACCGCGAGGAGGCACTCACCGCGAGGAGGCACTCACCGCGAGGAGGCACTCACCGCGAGGAGGCACTCACCACGAGGAGGCACTCACCACGACCACACTGTCGTCCTCCATGGCGCGTTTGAGGTCGGAGCCCGACCGCACCTTGGTGGACGCCGGCCCCGCCTGCTTCTTCAGGTGCGCCACCAGGCCCCCTGCCTCCCGGGGGCCCTTGTACGTCAGGGGGGATGCGTAGTCCCTGGGGGGGGGTGGGGGTAGAGGGTGAGGAGACGGGAGGAGGAATGACGAGGTGAGACGAGAGAGGATGAGGCATATGAAGCTCCTCACGGTCGCCCACGTGCTTGAAGCACTCACCAGAGCAGGCGACTCACCGCAGCACGCGACTGAGCAGAGCAGGCGACTCACTTGCGGAAGATCTTGATGGTGGGGAAGCCCCCCACGCCGTATTTCCTGGCGATGGCCTTGTTGCTCTTCTCGTCGCCGTTCACACGCGCCAGCACGATGTCCGACCCCTCCTCCGCCAGCTGCTCCGCCGCCTTCAAATACTGCTCATGGCGCGTCATGCCACGCAGCACAGCAATGCATGCAGGCGGACAGTCATGTGCAATGCAGCAGCACGAAGCTAATGTCAGGCGTCTGTGAGTGAGGGTGGTGGCGTGCCATGATGCAACTACGGTAGGTACGAGGAGACGCATTGCAGAGACCGTGCACTATGCATTCATGCTATAATGCGGTAATGCCGTGTTTCTGTGCTCGCCCTCCCTCTGTCTCTCCTCTTCCTCTCAATCGCTTCCTCCTTCATCTCTCACTCGCATCTCCCTCGTGTCATGTCTCCCTCTCTCCTCCACCTCTCCCTCGCCCCCTACCTCCGGCTCTAGTCGTTTGCAGTGGCCGCACCTGCCAGCGCAAGAAGAGGACGCGGTGGGGAATGGGGGTAAGGGAGGAGGGAGATGCGGAAAATGTTTGAAAAGGGGGAATGAGGAGGGGGGAGGGGGGGGGGGGGAGGAGGGGAGCAGGGGGGGGAGGATCCAGGGGGGATTGGCGAAACGGTTGTGGGGGGAGGGGGATGAATGAGAGCAAAGCAGCGGTGTCAGCCGCGCAATACATTGCAAAGAAAGCGTCGGGAATAGCACGGTAAGACGAAAGCCATTACTGGATGCAATCTCGGAAAGACGTGTGACCATATCGAGAGGAGACTACGGCCCGGAGCGAATTTAGCGAGAATAAACGAGCATCGGAAGGCGAGCATGAGCGCGCACCAGGGAGCGTAGAACATGACGGCGATGAAGTCGTGGCTCTTAACCTCCGACTCGAAGTTGGTGAAGTCGAGCGACAGCACCTTGTCGTCGTCGGCACCACGCGACAGGCCGACCACCGCTAACACCGCGAGCAGCGCCAGTGCAGCACGCAACCCAGCCATGGCGAGAAATGCAGCCTGGATTCTTTGCCTAGACTAGAAAAGAAAAACTACTATGGATACTGGGGACCTAGGGATTTTACAAACTCGAGGCGTGGGAGCAGTGGTCCAGTCCAGTCCAGTTCAATGATAATCCCAGAGCAGAGGGGGTGTGGGGAAAATACTCTGTCGTTGGCGAGCCCAGTCAGTCACCAAATTATCCGTGTGCTCGCGACATTCACAGCGCAGGTATCCAAAACACTCGCCAGGAACACTAGAAACCAATGGCATACAAAATACTCAAACCACAACTAGATCTACCTACAGCTAGTAGGCTACAGCACACCTCTCCAATAATCCTTGAGCCCTAATTTGGGCCAGGAAAATATAAAACTACTTGGACTACAGTAAGCTAGAAACGTGACAACCTGCTTTTATGAATCACACAGAATACATTGCACTTGGGGCTTCTAAGCGCACTGAACGGCCTGCTGCAAGAGAGCTTGCTGCTCGGGTGGTAGTGCCCCCACTATCTCCGCTGGTAGGCTCCGCAGCAACGTCACTGCTCGCTTGGCTGTCTCCTCCGTTGCCAGGTCCGTGCCGGCCTTGAGCACCTGGGCGAAATTAACGTGTCAAAGTTGGCAGATATGAGGAGGCACCAGAAGGGGAGGAGAAGCTGTGAAATCTCAACATGCATGGCATGGCACACACCAGGGCTCAACGCAACGACTCCAGCAGAGCAGGAAGGAAGGTCTTGCAGGCACGTACCTCAAGCAGCACGCCCACAATGTGGGGCAGGTTCTGGTTGTTGGGGCCGAGAATGCGAGGGTCCGACCTGAACAGCACAGGGAGGGGGAGAGGGGGGCGGCCGAGTGTCAGATGATTGCCCAGCACAAAAAACCCCATCACGGATCGAGCAGGGATGGCAGGCATGAGCCAGCAGCTCACCTTTCCAGCAGGCCACAGAGCTGCGCGTGCGCCACCTTGGCCTCGGCGCGGTCCTCGCGGATGGGCAGGTAAGCGAGCCACACGGAGAGCACGTGCGCCGAGTCAAAGGGCGCCTGCGCCTGGTGCTCGCACAGGCGGCCCAGCGCGGAGATGGCGTTGTCCGTGGCTGAGACACTCAGCTCGCCCTTGCTGTCCGCACTGCTCACCACCTGCCCCAGCCGCGCCACCGTGTCTGCAGGGGTGTGGGAGGACATGCCGTGCCATGCACACATCATGCCATGCCGTGCAATGAGCATGCCATTGGGAGAGCGGCGGGAGGATAGGGAGGTAACAAAGAGATGGAGGGACTAGAGAGGGGGGGAAATGAACAGTGGGGGAATACGAGATCCTGGGGACAGGTGGATGTGCGAACGAGACAATGGGCAGCGCAGTGCAAAGGAGGGGGTGACGGGAAGCAGGTTAGGGGAGGAAGAGGAGAACAGGGGAGTGGAAATGGTGGGGAGTGCAGATGGAGAGCCAGCTGCAGGCGGAGGGCACGCACCTGGTACATATGGTGTGAAGGCAGCCCCTCCATGCTGTGCACAGATGCCGATGCCATACGCTGCTGACTGCAGCAATGCACATGGGGTCCATGGGGCATGAGTGAACAGCGGCACTTGTCAGTCAGAATGACAGGATGAACGAGAGAGAGTGGGACAACCGCAGTACAGACTCCACGGAAAAGTGTGCTATGCAAAACAGCGTAAACCACTGACGCAGGACAGCATTACCTGTCGAATCTCGGGCAGGGGGTCGAGGACGGCTTCAAGGATGTGAGGCAGGAAGGCGGGGAAGTAACTGGTGGCGCGTGGGGGGGAGGAGAGGAGAAGGGGCAACGGGTGGTGCAGAGGGAGGCGGATTAACACAAGGGACGGGGCGGGGACCCTAAAGGGTAATAGGAGTGTGGAGCGAGGGACAGGCATCAATGGTCAGGAGCGGCAGCGCCATCGGCACGGCATGAGCCCGAGAAGAGCGCACGAGGAGAGGGCAGGGCGGGGGTGGCACCTGGCAGCGGCATCGCCCATGTTCTCCGCCAGGTCATCGAAGATGCAGATGCCCACACGCCGCTCCGTGGATGGCCGGCTCTTGTCCTGGTGATTGCCGCAGGGGGGAGGGGATGGGGTGGGGGAGGGGGAGGGGAAGGGGCAGAGCGGACAAGCGGAGGGTGGGAATGGGAGTTAGCCAGGGTTTATGGTGGAGCATGTGAGAGCAGTTGAGTGCAATAGCAGTGCAGTATGTGTGATAGCCCTTTGGATTGGGAACATGAGGGCTGGAGACTGACCATCATGTGCAGCACGAAGGGAGCGAGGTCGTCGGCGAAGGGCTTGAAGCTGGCCTTGAACACGCGCATGAGCTCGCCTATGCAGTCGCCCACCTGCCACCACACACCACGGCACAATGTGCACAGGCACCCAGATCTGAGTCACGTCAAAAACACCTCAAAATGCATCGTGCGCCCCTTCTCGTCCCTCTCCCCACATCGCACTCAATCGCAGCTCCCTGCTGCCACCCCCCTCCCCCTCCCCCTCCCCCTCTCACAACCATCAACCTCCACTTGTCTCCCACAGCAGATGTCCCCCACCTCTCAGCACACACCCTCTCTCTTCCCCTTGCGACCCCCTCAGACGCCCCTCTCCGCCCCCTCCCCTCCCCCTCCCCAGTCACCGTCTCTCCGCATTCCCTCTGTACCTGGTCTGGCACCCACCTGGACCAGCACCCACCAGGACCAGCACCCACCTGGACCAGCACCTCGCCCTCCTGCTCGCTCTCCACCCCATGAAGCACCTCTGTCTGTCTGAATGCGCTCCAACCGCGCACCCCTATGCCCCCCGAAACCCGTGCGCCCCTGTGTCCGCCCCACCCCCAACGCACCTGGTCGAGTCGAGAACCTCGTCCTCCTGCCCGTTCTCTACCTCCAGCAGCTCGCTCTCCTCCTCGTCCAAGTCCTCCACGTATCTGGGTGCGCTCCACTCACTCCCTGCCCTCCCTTGGCCCATAACCACCCTCCCCCACCTTCACCAGGGCGGCACCCACCTGGTCGAGCACCTCGTCCTCCTGCTCGTTCTCCTCGTCCAGCAGCTCGCTCTCCTCCTCGTCGAAGTCCTCTGTCTGAGTGCGCTCCAGCCGCTCCTTGCGCCGCCCGCGGCTGCCCTCCACCACCGCCTTCAGCTGCGCCACCACCTGCCCCACCTGCTCTGCGCTCAGCTCCGCTCCCCCCAGCTGTTGCGCCCACAGGGGAAAGGGAAAGCGGCGAACAGGACGGCAGCAGGAGGATAGGAGCCGGGGTGGGTGTCACACTTCAAGAAGGGTTTCAACCAATTGACTGCTGTTGGCAACACCTCATCTCACCTGAATGCATTCTTGCAGAGACTCGAGCATGACCACAATCATCTCCACTTCTGGCTCCTGCCACAGGGGAAAACCCAGGAGATTCCAACAAAGCACAGGGGGGACTGTGTAAGCGGGGTAGATGAGCATTTTTGAATGAACACCGAGAGGCAGAGAATGATTTCGCTGGCCTCCACCACACTGCTGCCACTGAACCCATGCCTGCCAGCCACTCTCATGGTCTCACCCTCGAAATGACCCACATTGCCTCGAATACCACTCCTATCAGTGAGCATCCCCATCAGTCAACACGCACATCAGTCCTCGCCCACCTTAGTCAAGACCTCGACGAGTGGCGGCACGAGGAAGTCGACCATCTGCTTGAGGTAGCGCTTCTCGCCCTCCGCCGTCACCGTCACGGCCGGCGCCACGCCCTTCTCCACCGCCAGCTTGCCGTCCAGCAGCAGCTCGGGGATGGCTGTGTGCGGGGGGGGGGGGAGGGGGGAGGAGGTGGTGAAAAAGCGGAGGGAGGGGGGGGGAGGGATGATGAGATGTGCGAGGAGGAATTGGGCATGCCATTGCCACTGCCACACCTCCCTCCACCGCCAGCTTGCCGTCCAGCAACGTGCAGGGCGACGATGGGTGGGACGGAGGGGAGGGAGCGGCGGAGAAAACGGGGAGGGAGAGAGCATAGGGCGTGGTGGCGTACATTGAGCAGCGGCCTTGCAGACCTCCTTGTGAAAGCATAGGAGAGAGAGAAGGCGGGGGGAGGGGGGGGGCGGAGGGCGTACATTGAGCGGCGGCCTTGCGGACCTCCTCGTGGAAGTAGAACTTGAGCAGCGGCACCATGAGCTGCGCAACCTGGTCGATCCAGGGGAAGAAGCCCTCCTTCAGCTCGTCCGCGTAGCAGCACAGCATGTTGCACGCCGTCGCCTTCTCCTCCAGCATGCTCGTGCGGATCCCTATCTTCTTGTCGCCGATCGTTATCGTCTCCACGCTGCACACAGGGGGGGATGGGGCGACATGCGGTCCCCACGGAAGAGGTAGCGACGTGGTGAGGTGAGGGCCATGCATGCAGAATGCACAACAGACAATATACACCCGCCCTTTTCCCCCACACACGCACAGCACAAAAAGGCAGCGCACAAGGACACAACCCACCTGTCGTCGTCGTCATCATCGTTGGCAGTGTCGTCGTCGATGTCGGAGATGGTGACGTCGGGCTTGAGCGACGCGGAGTGCAGCAGCGGCGGCATCACCACGTGCATGAAGGGCAGGAACTCCGCGCCCAGACACTTGCACAGCCGCGCCCACGCCTGGCGGGTGGGGCGGGGAAGAGTGAGAGGAGGAGGGGGGGAAGACACGAGGGGTAAGTGATTGACGGGAGTGGAGTGTGCGGGGGGGGGGGGGGGGGGAGAGAGGGAGGGGAGGGAGGAGATTTTAACAGCAGATAAGAAATGGAGCGTGTAGCACATGCTGACGTCATACCTGCGGCATGTAGCTCCGAACCTTCAATGTACCCACCCCCCTTCACTCCTCCGCACCTCGCAATCTTCCCTGCAACCGTGCACGCCCCGTGTCTCACCTGCAGCATGTAGCTCATGGTGAGGTCGTCGTCGTCCATGGGCGCGGCCTGCAGCGAGACGAGCACCTCCATCACCTCCTTGGCGTCCGCCCGGAACTTGTCCTTGCCCACCGCCATGCCCACCAGGCTGATGGCCTCCACCGCCTTGGCGCGCAGCATGCGCTGCTCCTTGTCGCCCGCCTGCGTGAGCACCGTCTTGAGGTACGGCATCACGCCGTCGTAGTACTTCTGGAAGTGCTCCTGCCACATCACGGCGGGAGGCGAGGGGGGGGCGTGGGGGATGAGGGGAAGGGAGGAGTGCGGGGGGGGGGGGGGGGGGGGGGTGGTAGACGTGAGTGGAATGAAATGGAGGGGAAGGCGCGGAAAGATGGGGACGGCCGTGGGAGCAGGATGGACTGGGGGAGGAGGAGGAGATAGGAAGAGGGGAGAGTGGGGGGGAGGGGGGGTACAGCAACTGCAGCGCGGCAAGAAGGAAGCTGATGGGAGATTCAACGCACATGGAAACAGTGAACGCGATTGGTCAGCACGCAGTCGATGCCGTGAACGCACCTGCGAGCAGTCAGCGATGGCGGCAATGGCAGTGAGCGACCCCTCCTGCACCATGCGCTTGCCAAACTGCCACGCACACACCGAATTCACACGGAAGGGATGTTCAGGCGCCCAAATTCGCACATAATACAAGCACCTGGGTGCTTATTTCGCGTGTGAGTGTGTTCATCTGGGTGTTCGTTCGTTCGCGTGGGCCTCTAATCCAATGGCCTCTGGTGGCTCTCCTTCGTTTTCTCTCCCAATCTTCCCACAACCCTTCACACCCCACGGTCTTCCCACTCCCCAGCACCACCAAACCTGCCCACAAACATCCCCCCACAACTCCCTCCCCTTCCCCCCACCCCTCTAGCACCTGCAGCAGGTGCAGCAGCTTGTTGAGCAGCTGGTCCAGGTACGGCGCCATGATCTCGGGGGTCGCCGCCTCGCTGAAGTTGAGGATGGCAGCGGTGGCGTGCGCCTGCACGCGCGGGTTGGCGCCGTCGTCCATGGCGCCGATGAGCGCGGGCAGCACGCGCGCGTGGTACTGCTGCTGCAGGTCCGGCCCCAGGTCCGTCGACAGCTGCCCCACCGCGTTGATCGCCGCCCACCTGAGCAAAAGGGGGGGCAAATCGATAAGCTTATTCATGGCCAAGTGCATGAATGCACGGGTAAAGCTTTGAGATACCATGCAACAGAACTGAGGAGGAATGCTGGCGCAGCGCGCCGATTGGTGCCCACCTGACCCGCGGGTTGGGGTCGTTGAAGGCGGCGAGCACCATGGCCACCACCGACTCCAGGCTCTTCGACATCACCTGACAGGGGTTCGGGGCGCGAGGTGCGGGGGAGAGGGCTTTAGCAGGGGATAAACAAATGGGGAACGAGCGGGAGAGAAGGAGGTGCGGTTCAGGCGCACAGGAAAGTGACCGGTACGGAGAATGTGGCTCGGCTCCTCACCTGATTCCCCCCCGTACAGCCCAAGCCCCTTGTTTTAAGGGCTTATCTTGGTCCACCCTTCCGCGATCTGCTTTTGAGGCGCCTCAAAAATAGACTCCTCACGCATAGACAAGCCCCTTGTTTGAAGGGCTTACCTTGGTGCACCCTTCCGCGATCTGCGCTAGACACACGAGCGCGGCGTGCCGCTTCTTCCAATCGGCGTCAGTGGCGTACGCGGGGAGCGCCTGCGACGCAACGGGGAGAACGGTGTTCCCGCCCACCGAGATCGCGAGCCTATCGAGGCACTCCTGCGCCACCTCGTAGTTGGCCGACTCGCCCGAATCCTCCTCTTCGTCGTTCGCGGCGTGCCACTCGGGCGTGTCCTCGATGTCCAGCAGCATCGCCATCAGCACTGCGAACAGCCGCCCCACCAAGTGCGGCACCTTGCGCATCATCCCCGGGGCGCGCTCGCGCGCCTCCGCCAGCGTGATCAGGAACTCAATCGCGAGGTGACGCGTGGCGTCCTCCAGCTGCGTGGATTCCGCGATTTGCAGCATGGCGGCGATGACGTCAGTCAGCTGCTTGCGCATGTAGCGCGGCTCGATGCCGGCAACCTCGATGAGCATCTCGAGCGCCTCCTGCGCGCTGGCCTCGTCTTTACTCTGGAGCGCCAGGTTCAGCGTCTGCATCATCCCGGGCAGCAGATCCTGGAATTGCGTCAGCTCCTCGGGAGTTTCGAGAGCCTCGACGAAATTTGCAGCTGCCCGGAGAGCGGCGATGCGCACGTCGGGATTGGCTGACTGGGAGAGGCACTGCAGGAGAACGTTGTGCAGGGTGGGCAGGTGGGGCTTGAGCTGCGCCTGAAAGAAATGCACCAGCTGCGCGAAGATCAACAGCGACGCTTCTTTCAGGCGGTCGTCTGGCGACGACACGCATTGGAACATAAAAGGAAGCAGCTCCGGCCATGTGCCTGTCTCCACGATCCCCGCGGCGAGCTCGGCGATCGTGTCGCACTGCTTCTTCCAGATCGCCTTCGTCGGCTCGCGCTGCACGCTAGCGAGCAACTCGGACTTGACCGTCGCCTGAGTCGCGGGATTCAGCTGAGGCCATAGCGACACGCTGTCTTTGGTGATCACTCGTCTAAGGAGCACCGCGCCGATGGTTCGCACGTCCGTGCCGGCTGCGGAGGATTGCAGCGCGCCGACGAGGCGGAGAATGAGGGCGTCCGGCTGCTGTTTGCAGAGGTTAAATATGCGCTCCGCCTCGCCTCTGTCGTCGTTCGACGGGGACAGCAGTCGCTGCAGGAGCTGCTCGAACGGCGCGGGGTCTTGGCCCAACACGATCGCCACAGCTGGATCCATGGCCTTGGGGGGTAGAGGACGCCGGATTCAAAGGAACCACGATCGTCCTGCAGTGGAAATAATGGTTGGAGCCCAGTTCCTAGGCACTATCTTCCATGCCAATTAGGGTACAATGACTATGACCCTGAAAGTGGCCTACAAAATGGAGAGCAGGAGGATTTGAATGGAGGAGCCATGGAAGAACGATGGGGGAATGGAAGACCATGAACAGTGGTCAGGCGCTTGTCGATGTGTCATGTCACGTCACGCTGCATGGCACGCACAAACGATCAGCTGATTGGTTTGAAGATTTGTCTGCTTTGGTCGGCGAGGGCTCGCTTTGGTTGAAACAGAGTGCCCGAGAACTGTGAAGCCTCGAGAATTGCTCACCTGCCCAACATGAAAAGGTCGACCCCTCACCTCAACTCGCCCTCGTCATTGGTTCGGATGCTCGTCGAACCTGGCGAACTCGAGGTTGAAATAATTTCCCCGTTTTTTTCGCGTTTCTATTGTCCCAAACATTGGGGGTGCCTGGCGGAGCGCGCCAGAAGTTTGGGGCGACTGTTTGAAGTGGTTTACCACCACCATACAGTACGTGGCCTCTTATGAACCTGCGCGTGGAGTCCTAAGTCAAAGGAATAATGTATATGTACCGCTAAGTCCCACAAACTAGGAGTTGAGAAGAAAGCCATTGCCCACAACCATATCGTTGGACGATAATATAAAGCAGCATTCTCCATTGTCTATGGCTGTCATGCACGACAAAAGACTGTCACCCAGGGTGCAGTGTTCTGGTGGGTCACAACAAAACATGTACTAAATGTTATGTGCCAACCAACTTCAGTAGGGCTGCAGTCAGATTTCGCCACGAGCTTGCCCCAACCAGAGCTGTCCAGCTCTGGCAGCGCCTATTGCAACGCATGTTCGTTACTTGAGCACCGAGTGCCTCGCTACACTACGCTAGTTCCACCCACCATACCCCCACCAACAAGGCACAGACAGACCAGCTTGGCTGCTGCCCCTCAGGAAGCGGGCTGCATGCTGCTCCGGAGCTTCCCACCTCCCCCTCCCCCCCCCCAACCCCCCCCCCCTTTACCTCCTTACATCCGCTTACCACTGACTTGCAGAGAAGCATGATGGTTGAAGCTGCTGGGGAAGGGAGGGGGGGTGGGGGGAGTGGGGGGACTCCAATCTGCTGGCAGCAGACCACACCACACCTGATACGATACAATGCAAGGCCTATACCACACCACACCACACCTGATACCTTACCTCGCTTACGCCTAGCCCCCAAACTATCCTGCCCTCTAGCTAGGTGGTTGGTGCCCCATGTGCATTGCACACAAGCAGAGAAGGTCTGTGTGCGGTGAGGGAAGGCGAAAGCGAGACTAGTGAAATGCACAAACTGGAATGCGGCACCAAGGGAAAGGGGCACCGTTGGAGGCACAACCACAAGCAACAAACCCCCGAGGGAATCTGCGGGGGCGAACCGCTGTAAGGCTGTAAAGCGGGGCTTGGCCTGGGCGGTTTACCTGCAGTAGGGGGATCTGCGGCTTGTGAGCGGGACTTCAACCAGTGGCAACGTTTTACAGGGAAAGGGCATAGAAGGACATCAAAGCACAATAGGAGCACTAATAATAATAAGAGCACTGAGCAACATGCAAGGCTCAGTTTAGGAGGAAAGGTTACTTAGCTGGAAGTAGAAGCACCGCTGAGAGTGGCTGTCTGCTATCCCCTCCCCCTCCCCTCCACCTGCCATGGCAAGGAGGTGCAAGCAGGCCCACTGAAAGGCCCTGCAGAGGGATTGGGGGGGAGGGGAGGGGTAGGGCAGGCAGAGGTTGCGGAGGGGACCTGACGGAAACATCCATTTGAAAGTAGACGGATGGGGTTGACAGGGCCACTGGTTGACGGAGTGCAGTGGACAAAAGCGTCGGCTGGCTCGAAGCAGCTGAAGTTGACGGGAACAGTTTGCTTGACAAAAAACAGGACAAGCTTGACGACAAATTTGCCCAACCAATCTCCTTCCACGCACCTGATGGTAACTGTAGCTTGATGGTAACTGTAGCTTGACGGCAACCATTAGGTTGACGGAAACCTCAACCTATCGTCACATCGCTGCAACAAAGGCTCGCACGGCATTATCGCCGTTGTGTCCTCGATAGAATCTGTCGAGGGAGTCACCCGCTCGCAAAAATCGTGCCGATTGGAAGCAATGCGACGAAACGCCAACGAACGGCGCGCCTTGCGACCACCAACTCGGCGAACAGGCATGTCAACGATTGCGATGGGCGACCGGTGCGTTTGTTGCAACAGCGACGACCGATTGTGTGGCGGACGCCCGGCATGTGGACGACATGAAGGCTGCGACGGACGTCGCGATTTGAAGCGTCAAAGCGGTCTAAGCTTGTTCGTCTAGCTGTGTTCTAGGATATAGAGCTCAACCGGCCTAGTTGCTAGCGGCTACGACGCTCTGAGAAAGCGGTGAGTGAGAGTATCCGGGGACGAGGAGCGGAGAGAGGAAACTGAAAATGATAGGACCGGACCGGAGTTGGAGAGAGGACGCGGTGGGTGAGGCGAGTGAGGCTGGGTGAAAGCGAGGTCACCATGGTGCGAGGCAGGGAGCGTGACTCGAAAGGGGAAACCGACCATCCTTTCCCGAGGTATCACTGACGGTGGACCTTCGCCGCCGTGAGCCAGTGAGCTTCGAGGGGGATTGCACGAGTCGCACGGTTTCATTCTGGGCGGGAAGGCTTGGCGAAAGGTCGATAATTAACGCTAACCGATTGCCAAAAACGGCGCGAAACTTGTTCAACAGGGAGTTTGGTTGTCTAGGCGCGTTGAATGAGACGCGTATCCGATTTGCCGAGGTGAGTGCGATTCGACGCGGCGGAAGTACCCTGAGGTTGGGATAAATGAGACCCGTCTGAACGGCGGCCATGGCTTGTTCGAGGTGAGTTTCAGAGGGAAGGAATGGATTTTGGAGAAGGGCAGCGGACGCGATACAAGCTCAAGCGCATAGCAAGATGAAATCGCTGTGATGATATTCGAGATGTTATGATAGCTGCATGCTATCCTTGCTGCTGGATTGTTTCAAAATCTTGTGCTATTTGGATAACTAAATCTCTTCCTGTAACGAGGACGCTCATGTCGAGCTCGTGATCAGTAAGGCGGTGAGCGAGGCTCTTCCCTGACTGGCCAGCCTGCCCCCTGCGCCTTTGGAACGGAGCCGTATTGGCTGAGACACATTTCCAGAAGACTACAGTTATCTTCTGTTTGATGCGTGGATGAAGCCGCTTCTCGGGCTTTTTTTTCTCCCGAATTGCAGGCCACAAGCCCACTGCATAGGAGGGGGGAAGCCAATGAATGAACAAAATGAGATTACTGTACAGTTTTCTTCTCAACTTTATCGACGGAGTTTCGGCAATCCCTACAGCTTCCCTCCACCATCCCCGCTTCTAACTTGAAACTATCAGCGAATCACGGAATGCCATGGAGCGGCGTCGGCGTTGCGTGCCAATGGGATGTTAAGCTTTTCCAGAACAGCTTCCAGAAACGCTGGAAGGACTAAAGTGCGTTGCGTGCGTCATCCATGTCATCGATGACTCACTGGATAAGGCGCACCCGCTTCAATAGCGGCGTTGGATGGTATGATCCATGCGAGGCGCTTTCACCATTGGTTAGGCTTCGGGTCTTAATGGGTGCAGTCCCTTTTTGACGTGGAATTGTTCCTCACTGACGTTTCTACCGTTTTCAGTGACGAGGAGAGCTCCAGGAGTCAGTTGTGTGGAAGTCATGCTCAGCAGGGGCGTCAACTTCGCGATTGGTGCAAGTTAATATCTTATCCAGGCTGCCATTCCCAAAAAGCAGGAACACCCCCAAAGCTTAGCCGAACCAGTCTGGACAAGGAATGTAGGGCCCATCGAGCCTCGGCCACGTCTGCTCAGCTTCCTAGCCTGATCACTTTCGCCACCGCAGCGTCGATGGTTGTTGGTTGGCCTGGTTGTGCGAGATCTACAAAAGTGACGCGGCTCGGCTTGGCTGAAAACAGGCAGGCAACGCACGCGGGTGGGGCTGCTTCTGAATCTGCTCTCTAGGGATTGCCGACGACACAAGCGGAGGGGATCTGCTGCCCTGTGTGCTGCCGTGTCTTGTCGTTCAGTGGCCCACTCTCTCCGCTCCACCCACCTCGGCCTCGCGCAGCCCTCACAGGCCCATATGATCCGTGACTCCTATCAGACAGACGTCACGATCAGAAATAATCACCTTTCACGGAGTGAAGCAGATAAAAATCAGAGTTTTGGACCAGCTCCAAGTGGTGTATCTCGTTAGTTGCGCTTCAGAGACTGCTCGTTCACAGCGCGAAATTCCTAGTACCGTCCCTAATAGTCAGTGATTTCTATTCCTCCGACGCATTGTCCAGCACCTCCCTAGCCCAGCAACGCCTCTTCACGCACTCGCCGCCATGAGTTGCAACGGCTGTCGCGTGTTACGAAAGGGCTGCAGCGAAACCTGCGTCATTCGCCACTGCCTCGCGGGGATCGACGGCGCGGAGCCGCAGGGCCACGCAACGCTCTTCCTGGCGAAATTCTTCGGGCGCGCGGGCCTCATGGGCTTCATCGCGGGAGTGGAGGAGACCCAGCGGCCCGCGCTCTTCCAGTCGTTGCTCTTCGAAGCGTGCGGTCGCACCATCAATCCCGTCTTCGGCGCTGCGGGTCTGCTCTGGACGGGCCAGTGGCACCTCTGCGAGGCCGCAGTCGACGCCGTGCTTCGCGGAGGGTCGATAAAGCCGACATCCGACGCTTCCTCTCCAGCCGCCGCCACTCTCGCGACCAATCCTCCTCCATGTTCCCAACTCCCCCCTCTCACCCCCCGCCCAGTCGCACCCCCCTGCGCTGTCCCAGCTCCCACCGTAATGGCGCCAGCAGGGCCAGCCATGATGGTCGGAAGTTCCGCCGCGCCTTCCGCATTCCCGTCTTCCGTGTTTCCCGGCGCCGCGCCATTCTTCCCCAGCGCGATGAGCGTCCTGAGGCCGCGTGGCGGACTGCCCGTGACGGCGACCGTGCTCCCCGCCTTACCTGGCGCTGGCAGTGTGAGTCCGCCGTTATTCGGCGGATTCGCCGCCAACTACGCTCCGCAACACTTGATGCAGCAACAGCAGCAGCAGCAGCAGCAGTACATGCAACTTCAGCACCAGCAACAACTGCAGCAACAACTGCAGCAGCAGCAGCAGCAGCAGCAGCAGATGGCGCATCTACACAGCTTGTACTCCCCACAAAGCCTCTACCCTCCTACCGCTACCGTCTCCCTGCCAGCCACTGCCGCTGCCACCATGTCTGCCGGCCAGCCAATGGTCGCGCCTAGTCAGATGCTCCCCTATTGGCCGGCTGCCCACGTGTCTGCAGGCCCCACATCCGCCTTCCCCAGCACGGCGCCAGGCGGAGTAATGATGATTGCAACTCCCCCGCCGCCTGCTCAGCTGACTGGAATGTCCATGGGTGGCTTGCAGCCAATGGCGTTCGGACAAGTGGCAGTTGGGAGCGTGCAGAGCCAGCAATTGCAGGGCAATCCAGGGCAGGCCGTGGCTGCACAGCCGACAAGTGCTGCACAGAAGCAACAGCAACAGCTACAGCAACAGCAGCAGCAGCAGCAACAACTGCAGAAGCAACAGCAGGCAGATAGCGAGCGGCAGCAGCGTCTGAGGCCGTGCACACCACCTGCTGTGCCAGCAGCAATGGACTCAGCCAAAGCACTCGCAGCAGCGCCGGGCGGCGCACGAGTGGCACCAGAGCGCACTGAGAGTCCTGCCAGCTGTCTGTCTCCTATGTACAGTGCAGTCAGTGGGGCGAGACTGAGTGGCCTGAGCGGCTCCAAGAGCTTCCGAGGCCCAGAAGACAGCAGCACGCTGCTGCTGGCACCAGTGGCCCGCCGCCCCAAGCTGCTGCACGCCCCAACATCAGCCTCGCCGCAATTTGTCTCTCCGAACCTGCAGGTCCGGCCAGACCTTGCCGTGGGAAGCTGCAGTGTCCCAGGGGCAAGAGCTGGATCCGAGTCGTTGGAGTCGCACGCGACTGTGGAGGCGCCCGAGTTGGGCGCACCAGCCTCGTTTCCGACACCCAGTGCTGCAGGCAGTCCGTACCTTTCCCTCTGCAGCCATGGCAGCCAAGCGGGCAAGTTGCATGAGCAGCAGAGCAGCATGCTCTACTCCGTCCATCAGAGTGCCCACAGCCAGCAGAGCTCTCCTGGTGCGCTGCTCCAGTTGCTCTCATGAGCTGCATGGGTGTGCGCATCCGCTGGCTAGGTGGGTGTGCCCTAAGGCACATGCTGCGGCATCCGCTTCTGATTTTTGGCATGTGGTGGTAGTTGGCCTGTCATTTTGCCATCCTATGGATGGAGTGTGTCTAGCTTGTATTCCATGACTTGCGCATGTAACTGTTACGAGGGAAAGTGGCGAGAGAAAAAAAGAATCGACTAGGAGAGAGAGAGAGAGGTACAAGAAGTGGGTTGTCCTCTTTACAGTAGGATCCAGTCATTTGTAGAACACCTACCAAGTGTTGGAAATATCTCAAGGACTTAAGCGTTTCTGAAGTGTAACACTGTACTCGAGGAAGATTACAGGGGAGCACGCGAGTCAACGGAGGTTACACGAGGGGGCGGACAAAGAATGCGAAAGGACTCGAAAGGTCGCAACTGGAGGTTGCGACTGACCGTTACAACATCACGGATGGTAACCGAAGCGGCAATCGAGTCGCTGTGCGACTCGATAAACCGTTCCTGTAACTGTATTCTACAACTGCTTTCTTATCTTCTATATATTGCTGTATGCTTGTTTCTTTAATCAATCACTTGTTCTCACATACTAGTACAAGGGTTCAACCGTCTCAACTTCCGCTGCACTACTCCAAGTCTCAAGTCTTTACAGCTGGGACTTAGTCTCTGCAAAAGATCCTAAGGGCTTTTCTCAGCCCAACATGGTATGAGAGCTGGTCAGAGATCAAAACTCCCAGCAACTACACTCCATCAACAACCAGCAACTCAACTTGATTCAACAACTCCATTGATTACAAGACATGGACAACAAGGGCAAGAAAGTCTCTACGGGCTCACCCAGCGCCCAAGAAACTCAACACGGCAACTCTGGTCTGCACACCTCAGGACTGCAGACAGAGACCGGGACTACTCAAGAAACAACGGGAAGAGTACCAGAGATGGTGACCCCGTCTCCATCTTCAAGTGTGGACCCGAATCTCATGGAGAGATTCTTCAGCTTCATGTCACACTTCGATCAGCAGCAGCAGACAAGGACACCTGCGCACTCAACACAGAGCAATGGAGGGAATATGGGATTAGCGCCGATGAGCCTCGACAACTCATCCTTCGGGCGACACAATCAAGCGCCTACCTTTGCGCCTTATCACTCTTCACCGGGGACGTTCGAGTTCATGCCGCCCCGTGCCCAACCAACAGCAGCTGCATCACAACAAACACCAAACGAGATTTTAAGTCTCCAGGCACAGTTTTCACACGTGATTAAACTGCAGACATCATCCCCATTCAACGGACACGACTTCTTTACCTGGAGCTTCGAGTTCGAGCTGCTGATGGAGGCCGCGCATCTTCTGGGATACTTCAACGGGTCCCTGCCATTCCCAAGCAACGGCACTGGGAAGGAACAAGAAATCTTCACGTATCAGTCGCTGCTGGCGTATACGGTACTCCTGAGAAACTTGTCACCACAAGAGCAGCAGAGCATCAGAACGTATCGGAGTTATGGAAACTCCGCGGAACTTGCATGGCATCATCTCAAATGCCTCTATCAAGCAAACGACAGCGTGACACAAAGCAGACTCATGCAACAGCTGACAACAATACAGATGAAAACCGGGGAAAAGGCGATGCAGTATATGAGTCGCTGCCAGACCCTGCGCGACCGCCTGCTTCGGTGCGGAGGAACGATCACTGAAGAAAGCTTCGTCACACTTGTCCTCGCCGGGCTCGGACCAGAATGGAGAACCACACGATCGCTTCTTCGCGCCCACGGAAGGATCTCGGAGATGCACCTCTGCGCCGAGCTTCACGCTGAACAACAGGAGATGGATCTGTTCGAGGAAAGACAACCAAGGAAGCAACAGCAGTTAGTCTTCTACACTCAAAGAAGAAATGACATAAACTACAACCGACGCAGCAAGCAAGATCAACGCGACAACCGAGGACTCACCATCGTGCCGCCGTTCTGCCACAACTGCCAGACTTCCGGACACTCCAAAGTCAACTGCAACCGCCCTCGCGTTTACCGTGCAGCAGACCCACAAGTTGCTTCCACTCAAGCAAGTTCCCCAAGGCGCTCTTCAACATCTGCACAAGGGACACCAAATATCATCAACTGCATGGTACACATCGACAACTGCGCACCCGGATCACCACCCACTTACGCACCAGACGAAGAGGAATTCCCGCCGCCGCGCTCACAAGGACTTCAGGTCAACCCAACATACGCTGCGGTCGCCAACGCCGAACCCACTGGGCGAAACACCTGGTTCTTGGACAGCTGCTGCGGTCAACACATGTGCTCCTCGGGACGCTTCGTGCAACAGGAGAAACGCCTCAACCGCGACGTCGTCATCACCGTTGCCAACAACGAAAACCTGAAAACAAACAGACAGGGCGTGGTTCAGTTACAATCCATGGAGACGAATGTCATACTTCAACTCAACAAGGTGCTCATTGTCGACAATCTGGGATACAATCTACTAAGCGTAAGCCAACTAATGGCCAAGGGGATTCACCTGGAGTGCGACTCTTACTCCAACGAGTTCCGGCTTTACCACGGGAAGGGCGGCCTCTTCATCGGTCGTGCCCTCCTGAAGTCCGGCGTCTTCGTGTTGGACTTCGTCCCCGACCGCGGAACTGCCGACAGCGATGGCATCGTATCGTTCGCCGCCTGGACTCACCCGCCGGATCTGTTAGAATTAAGGACGGAGTCTAGGTGAACTTAGGAGCTAGAATTACTCAAAATATATATCCGAAATTCTGGACAGAAAAGTCGTCTTCACAAGAAACGACGTCGACAAAAACCTAGCCGTTGGAATGTCGCGAAACTTGGATATGTTGTAGCTCTTAATCTCAGCTACCGTTCCCAATTTGAATCACGTTGATTGATGAAGTATTCGCGACGCTATGGCTTTCGACGCACTAGGGGGTAAGCTGTAGGAGGAGAACTTAACTCAATCTCAAGAGTTCAATCAAAGTTCAAGAATCTCACAAGGAATTTAGAGGAGCAAGAGAAAGGTTGGGATAGAAGAGAGGGATGAGAGGGAAGGTCCCAAGAGAGTCCCCAACCAAGGAAACCCCATAAGCACAAAGATTCCCTCCCTATAGGAACCCCAACTTTGACATTTGTCCCTTCCCAACCAATCCATCCAAGTTGGCCACCCTTGCCAACCTAGCTTGGTTGTTCCCAACCAATTTGCAGCTGTTACAGTAGAGTGACGAATTTCCCCAACCCCAAAGGTCCCAACTCCATATAAAGTCACCCCACAACTTCACTTTGTAACCGCCGCAATTGTAACGCAAGCTCATGAACTTTGAATCTTCATAGCTTTCGCGTTCTTGCTCCGATTGACGCGATTCTTGTTGCGTCGGAAAGATCTTCTCAAGATCTATCATCACAAATACCTGCTCAGACAGAATAACACAAAACACATTCCCAAACTCCAGAACACACACCACACAAATTCTTTCACACACAGTCAAACCATACGTGCGAATTGAAACAAGGGATGGGAGGCAGACAGAATGTGATAACATATGATGACATCACACAACAATCTCCCCCTCTGGCTGCCAACCATCAACCACCATACCAACATCTCAAGCATGCATACTCAATGCACACTCATCCCAGCAAGCTTCATGCCCTTCCAATGATCCGCCTCCGCCAGACGCTTGGTGAAAATATCTGCTGCCTGCTGATGGGTCTTCACTATCTCCAGCCGCACCTCCTTATCAAGGAGTCTCCTCACCCAGTGCCACTTAGGCCTTATGTGTTTTGTCAGCCCATGCAAACAAGCATTCTTGGCGAGCTTCACAGCAGACTCATTGTCACAGAACACAACTGTCGGCTCCTCCTGACCAACTCCCAACTCCTCCAACAAACGCCTTAGCCACACTACTTCCTTGGCCCCATGGTGTAAGGCCATGTACTCAGTCTCACATGAGGACAATCCCACCTCATTCTGCTTCTTGCTGCGCCAGCTCACAGCACCACCTCCTAGCAAGCACACATAACCCCCAATGCTGGTGCCATCCGCTTTCACTGAGTTGAAGCTAGCGTCAGTATAGCAACTCAAGAGCATCTCACCACTCTTCACATCTGCAGCACCTCTCTGCAACCGCTGCCTCACTCCACTGTACTCCAATCCCACTGATGCCGTAGCACTCACATAGCGGACCAACCTCTTGGCCGCTTCCAGCTGCTCATGACTAGGGCGTGAGACCACACTAGCCAACCGTGATGTAGAAAATGCAATGTCAGGCCGTGTATGATTTGCAGCATAATTCAGCGACCCAACCATCGAATGAAACAGCTTCCTGTCACTCTCACCCACTACCTCCTCATCAGCACATGGCTCCACAGTAAACCCTGAAGGTAGTGGTGTTGCTGGCTTTCCCCCATCTTGCAGCCCATACTTCTCAGCCAGCCCCTCACAGTACTTCCTCTGGTGCAACCTCAGCACACCCTTCTCCACATCTCTCTCCACATGCATCCCCAAGTAGTACTTCACCTCACCCATCTTGGAACACTTGAACTGCATCTCTAGCATCTGCTCTGCGCTGTCCAGCAAAGCAGTTGATGCAGAAAAGAGAAGGATATCATCCACGTACACCAAGAGCATGAGGATTTCATCCTTCTCCTGCAGCAGGAACAGGCTGGGGTCACACTCACTCTTCTTGAAACCCCCAGCCAGCAGCGCCTCCTCCAACTTGTGATACCATGCACGAGGCGCCTGCTTAAGGCCATAGATGGCCTTCTTCAGCCTGCAGACCCTGCCGCTCCCATCATCCAGCCCCTCTGGCTGCTTCATATACACCTCCTCCAGAATGATCCCATTCAGAAAGGCAGTCACAATGTCCATCTGCCGTATCTTCCATCCCAGGAGTGCAGCTATCGCCAACAGCACCCTCAGTGTTGTTCCTTTCCCCACAGGAGCAAACACCTCATCATAGTCCTTCCCTTTTGTCTGCTGAAACCCCCTTGCCACAAGCCTAGACTTGTATCGGGTCAGCTCCCCTTCAGGTCCATACTTGTGCCTGTAGATCATCTTGGAAGTGATTGCCTTCTTTCCAGGAGGCAAGTCACACAGGTCCCATGTCTCGTTCTCAATCAGGGACCCAAACTCCTCATCCTCACTCGCCTTCCACTTCTCCCCATTTGGTCCATTCAAGGCCTCTTCTCGAGTCTTGGGCTCAGGGATTGGTGCCCAGTAGCAGTGAGCGATCTCATCTTCCTCAATCTGCTCAACCACACTCCCAGCCTGCACCACATTCGGCTTGCCTCTTCCCCCATAGGTCAGCCTCACTGGAGGGCGCACATCCCTCCTAGGACGCTCAGGCGGGTGTGGAACTCGAGGTGGAGACTCATGCTGCTGCTGCTGCTGCTCTACTTCAGCTGCTCCCCCTTCCTCAGTCACCCCAGACATCTCCTCCTCTGACACTGCAACCTCTACCTGTCTTGAAGGCCGCTGCACCTCATCCGCCTCCACAATGAGCGGTGTAGATGGAAGCTTCTGTTGCTGCTGCTTCCATTCCTTGTAGTACAGGGACTCAAGAAACTTCACATCCCTTGACACTGTCAACTTCTGGGTGGTCAAGTCCCATAGCAGCCACCCCTTGTGATCCTTTGCAATCCCCAAGTGCACACCCCATCTTCCAGAAGCCTCCAACTTCCCCCTTTTCTCCTTAGGCACATGAAACACCACCATGCACCCAAATGCCCTCAGCATGTTCACAGCTGGAGCACTCCCATACCACTTGACGTATGGGATCCACTCCTTATCTCCAACTGTAGCCAGCACCCTGTTCTTCACAAGGGCGACCTGCCTCAGTGCAGACACCCAAAACGGATCAGGCAGCCCTGCACGCCCAAGGAGAGTGCGTGCCCCCTCCTGCAGGGTCCTGTTGAACCTCTCAGCCACGCCATTCTGCTGTGGGTTGTAGGGCACTGTCAGTTGATGCTGGATCCCCTTCCTCTTCAACTCCCCCTCAAAATCAGCTCCAATGAACTCCCCACCATTGTCACTACGGATCACCTTCACCTTGTGTCCGCATTCCCTCTGAGCTCTCGGCATCCACTCCTTAAGGACAGCCGCTGCCACCTCCCCCTTGCTGTTCAAAGGGTAAACCCACACTGCTCGAGTGTGGTCATCCACAATTGTCAAGAAATAGCGGCTGCCTGAGAGGGAAGGGGCTCTTGTGGGCCCCACCACATCCATGTGCACAAGTGCAAGTGGGGTCTTGGCTGGTCCTGTAGTGCTGTTGAAGGGGAACTTGGAGAACTTGGTCTCCAAGCATGTAGGGCAGCTCCCAATCTCCTTCACTTCCCCTTTCACCTCCAAGCCCTTCAGGCTCCCATTCTTCACCAACTTCTGCAGCATAGGGAAGTTCACATGACACAACCTCTCATGCCATGTCTCCCAATCGGCCTCTCCACTCCTTGATGAAGCCTTAGCCCATGCCGCACTCGCATCCACACCAGCAAGCACCTCACCATGTGTCTGCTGCTTCTGCACTTTCTTGACTGCTTCCAGCACCCCATCAGTTGGTGCAGTTGCATCTCCTCCTGCTGTTGCCTTTGCCGCTGCTGCCGTTGCTGCTGTTGGAGTCTTCCCATTCCAAGGGATGATGGGCAGCTGCCACAGGTCCTTGATGCAGCTGGTCTCCTCTTCCAGACTCCACAGCACCTTCTTCCCAAGCTTAGCACGGCAGCTGGTTGGTCCAAAGGTCACTTCGGCCTTACTCTTCTGCAGCCGCCGCACAGAGAGAAGGTTAGCAGACAAGCCTTTAACCAGCAGAACATTCCCAAGCCCCACAAGCTCCCCATTAGCTCCCTTAACCTTGGCATTCCCAACACCAATCACGGGGAGCAAAGCACCTGACGCTGCTGCCACATACTTAATCTTCCCAGGGGGTTTTACCTCATCAAGCAAATCTGCCCGTGGGGTCATGTGACTGGTGCAACCCGAATCAATCACCCAGTGCGTGAGAGGGTGCATCACAACCTTTCCCACAAATCCCACATCACCCTCATGCCCATGCACATCCTCAACCATAAGAAACAAACCAGGATAGGCATTACCTTGTGCACCTTCACCTTGTGCACCTGAGCCTTGCACAGCGCCACCTTGTGCGCGTTCACCACTGGGCGGCTTCATGCCTGGAGGTGCCCATCCCTCCAGCCTGCTGAAGCACTTGAACCAAGGATGCCCAACCTTCTTGCAGTACCAGCACGTGCCCTCCATTCTGGTACTCCCCCTGCCACTAGAGCTCCCATGCCCCTCATTATAGTCACCTCGGCCTCTACCTCTGCCAAAGCTCCTCCCACGGCCTTGGCCTTTCCAACCCCCTCTTCCTCTGCCGCGCCCTGCAGCTCCATACCCTCAGCAGTCTTAGTGGCAGCACCGCCTCCCACATGGCGTCTGCGGAAGTCCTCCTGCAGAATCTGCTGCCTTAGCCACTCAGGTGTCCATTGATCTTGCTGAGAGTTGAGGGTGGGGATGAGGTTATCCCACGAGTTGTCCAACACCGAGATGATCTTGGTGCACTGCTGCAGCTGAGATACACTGCTGCCCGCTGCTGCCATCCTTGCATAGGTGTCCTTGATCTTGTCAAGGACCGGCTTCACATCGTCCCCTGGTCGCATGGAGATGGCAGCAAGTTCCTTCTCGAGCACGATCACCATCGGGAGAGTGTTGGGCTGAACCACATCACGTAGTAGTTTCCACGCCCTTGGACCCGAATCATCCGCTTCCACAAGATCCTTGATGTGCTCGAACATCTCCTTGTTGACCGATTGAAGAATGAGGTCGAAAAGCACCGCGCTTTTCTCAATCCACCGTTCACGTGCTTCGCCTTCTTCCGGCATCTTCTCTTCCCCAACAGCAATCTTCAGGAGCTTGTAGCGTTTGAAGGCACTCCTCATCCGTCCGCTCCATTCCTCATAGTTGGAGCCATCCAAAGCTTCAACTTTTGATGGCGGCGGCTCACTTGTCTTCTCAGCTACAGCTCCTCTTCCATTAGCATCTCCTCCTCTCTCATTCATCTTCTCCTTGAGAAATGACGAATTTCAGCTCCCCTTTGCTGTCCACACTCAGCTCCCTCGATATTTTCACAAGTGTCGGCGTCCACGAAATTTCGGCAGAGTTTCCCCTTAGCGGAAGACACATCCAACCTTTAGAACACCACTTAGGCACACCCACAGGCCATGGTGGGTCTAGAAGGGTCTTCACACTTCTGTAGACTCCTCTCAATGTCCTTAATATCGCTCTGATACCACTTGTTAGAATTAAGGACGGAGTCTAGGTGAACTTAGGAGCTAGAATTACTCAAAATATATATCCGAAATTCTGGACAGAAAAGTCGTCTTCACAAGAAACGACGTCGACAAAAACCTAGCCGTTGGAATGTCGCGAAACTTGGATATGTTGTAGCTCTTAATCTCAGCTACCGTTCCCAATTTGAATCACGTTGATTGATGAAGTATTCGCGACGCTATGGCTTTCGACGCACTAGGGGGTAAGCTGTAGGAGGAGAACTTAACTCAATCTCAAGAGTTCAATCAAAGTTCAAGAATCTCACAAGGAATTTAGAGGAGCAAGAGAAAGGTTGGGATAGAAGAGAGGGATGAGAGGGAAGGTCCCAAGAGAGTCCCCAACCAAGGAAACCCCATAAGCACAAAGATTCCCTCCCTATAGGAACCCCAACTTTGACATTTGTCCCTTCCCAACCAATCCATCCAAGTTGGCCACCCTTGCCAACCTAGCTTGGTTGTTCCCAACCAATTTGCAGCTGTTACAGTAGAGTGACGAATTTCCCCAACCCCAAAGGTCCCAACTCCATATAAAGTCACCCCACAACTTCACTTTGTAACCGCCGCAATTGTAACGCAAGCTCATGAACTTTGAATCTTCATAGCTTTCGCGTTCTTGCTCCGATTGACGCGATTCTTGTTGCGTCGGAAAGATCTTCTCAAGATCTATCATCACAAATACCTGCTCAGACAGAATAACACAAAACACATTCCCAAACTCCAGAACACACACCACACAAATTCTTTCACACACAGTCAAACCATACGTGCGAATTGAAACAAGGGATGGGAGGCAGACAGAATGTGATAACATATGATGACATCACACAACAGGATCTTGACCCCGACTTCGACAGTGACGGCTTCTGGCACTCCAACACCATACCTGCAGCAGAGAGAACACGAGCATTAGCAGTTATCAGACAAGAAAGACAAGTACCAGCAAGCGTCCCAACAAAACCATCACCTGCAGTATCGGCAGCAGGACCCAGCCGAGTACCACCACCATCAACACGAGGACCGCCAACGGAAGCAGACCAACTTATGCCCGCCACACGAGAAGCTTGTCGAAGTCCCGCCTCGGTCGTCGCGTTCTTCTCCAACGCCGACATCTACCACCGCTCGCCCGGTCACCGCGCTCCCGACGACATCTGGCACCAACGTCTCGGACATCCTGCAAACAGCACGATACTACAAACAATACAAGCAGAGGTGTTAGAACGTAACGCACTTCTAACGACGAGCGGCCAAGAACTTCGCCGACCAAGAGCACGATGCTTCACGTGCCCCGAAGCAGATCTTCCTCATCAACCTTTCCCAGCCCATCACAATCCAAGCGCACCCACTTACGCTCCGATGGAAAAGGTCTACAGCGATATTCTAAACATGCCTCGAGACGACACCGAAGCCGACTTCAACTACGTCATCACGTTCATCGACGCCGCAACCAGATACGTCTGGCACTTCAATCTCAAAACGCGCGATCAAGCCTTCGAGGCCTTCACCACATGGCTTCCAATCGCCGAACGAGAGTCAGGAACCAAACTCAAGAGTTTCCAGTCAGACGGTGCACTGGAATACCAGTCACAACGCTTCAGGACCTATCTCGCGGAAAGGGGAATCCGACGCCTGGTGTCTCTGCCCTATGCTCACCAGCAGCAGGGGGTAGCAGAACGCATGAACCGGACCTTGCAGACGACGATGCGAAAACTGCTTCTGGGGATGAGGCTGCCCAATACACTGTGGCCAGACGCGATGACACATGCAGTCCACCTGCACAACCTGTTGTCCTCGTCATCGCTCCCCAACAACGCATCACCGCACCTGCTGTGGACGGGAAAAAGGGGCAGCACAAAATTACTTCGAGTTTTCGGCTGCATGGTACAATACAGACCCCACACAGCTCGAGCAGGACGCTTCACTCAACGAGCTCGGTGGGACTACACCTCGGCATCGCCAAACATTTTCACGCGTGGAAGATTCTCGACATACACGACAAAAATACGGTGGCATCACGTGATGTTATCTTCTACGAGCGACTGACGCTGCAGCATTACCTGGACAACATTGCCAACTCAGACGACCCCACCGACGGCTTCGCGGGCCTTCGCTCCTTCGCTGACCATGCTGCCGAGGCTGACGCAGCAGAAGAAGACGTCCCTGGAGCCTCGGAGGCTGCCGGACCACTCCCCTACTGCTCCGTACCTGTTCCACTCGATGAAGATAATCCCCTCGATAGCAACAACCTCGACACCTTTTACCACTTCGCTGACCAAGGCTACGCTACACCACACCCCGTCGACTCGAATATTTCCGAACGCATCGGGCCAAACTTCTTACCCGATCCTGAAGACGGTGATGAAGCAGCTTATCCCGAGAATGAAAACTCCCCTCGACACACAGCCACGGGACTGCAGATCCTAGGACTATGGGTCTCCGTCCAGCACCCGCCGCCGCCTTCTCCGCGCGAGCCGTCGACCCTGTCGCAGGCTCTGGGGGGGAACATAAGGCACAATGGAAGGAAGCGATGGAAAAAGAGTTAAAAGCTCTGCAAGACCGAGAAACATGGAAACTGGTACCTGCAACGAGCATCAACGGGAAGAACATTCTCTCGGGGAAATGGGGTGTACCGCATCAAGACCAACTCAGACGGCTCCATCGAACGATTCAAAGCTCGATGGGTCGTACGAGGCTTCGATCAACGATACGGAACCGACTACACAGAAACCTTCGCTCCAGTCTCCCGTCACACCTCTCTGCGCATCCTACTCGCCATCGCGGCCACGAAGAAACTACCACTACGGCAAATCGACGTTGCAAACGCCTTCTTGTACGCACCTGTGGACGCCGAAATCTTCGTCGAACAACCCCACGGATTCATCGACGACCCTTCAAAAGTATGCCAGCTAGAAAAATCCCTTTACGGATCAAGCAAGCCCCACGGCTCTGGCAGCAGCACCTTCACGGCCGGCTCGTAAAAATCGGATTCCTACAGCTACCACATGACCAAGGCATGTACCGACTACAGAAGGGAAGAGATTACATTCTGCTCATCGTCTACGTCGACGACCTGCTCTACATCGGTTCTACCACCGACATCGTCACCTGGTTCGAAGGGGAGCTGAAAAGGGACCTGACGCTCACGGTGTCCGACGAAGTTACCCAGTACCTAGGACTGAACATCGTCGAAGACGACACGGCGTTCTACCTACACGCTGGAAAGTACTCAAGCACCGTCGCGAAGAAATTCGGTCTAGCACCGACTGCGGTCCCAACTCCCTACCGCTATGGGAACAACATTAGCGCCTCCACAAAACTCCCCGCGAAACAAATCCAGGAGTATCAACAGAAAGCTCGGCTGCCTACTATTCGCAGCAGTAACCTGCCGACCCGACCTATCCTATAGTGCGAGTCAGCTGGCGACACATCTGAAGCAGCCGCAACAGGAAGATCTCGAAGAACTCAATCGAGCGCTACTCTACTTCGTCTCCACGCCGACGATCGGGCTCACCTACAGCAAGGCAACAACACCGTCCGTACAACTACTCGGATACGTCGACGCCGACCACGCGGGAGACAGCGAAAATCGACGGTCTAGGACGGGCTACATCTACCGACTAGAACCTATCGGAACTATCTCCTGGCAGTCGAGCAAGCAGGAGTTAATCGCACTATCCTCGGCTGAAGCAGAGTATATCGCCCTTTGTACTGCGACCAAGGAAGGACTCTACCTACGAGAGTTACTCGAAGAAGCGAAGATCGCGACCCTGCCCGCCTTCTCACTCCTCTGCGACAACCAATCTGCGATCAAAATCGCGAACAAGGACGGCTTCGCCAACCCGAACCAAGCACATCGCCCTGCGGTACTTCTTCGTCAAGGATGAAATCGCGAAGGGGAGACTTCAACTCAGTTACTGCCCGACGACAGAAATGGCCGCAGATTATCTGACGAAGAAATTGGCGAAAGCAAAATTCGACTACTGCATGCTCCTAACCGGGCAAAACAAACGTCACCGGATCTGAACACTCCAGCACTCCAGAAACGAAGGGGAGTGTTGGAAATATCTCAAGGACTTAAGCGTTTCTGAAGTGTAACACTGTACTCGAGGAAGATTACAGGGGAGCACGCGAGTCAACGGAGGTTACACGAGGGGGCGGACAAAGAATGCGAAAGGACTCGAAAGGTCGCAACTGGAGGTTGCCGACTGACCGTTACAACATCACGGATGGTAACCGAAGCGGCAATCGAGTCGCTGTGCGACTCGATAAACCGTCCTGTAACTGTATTCTACAACTGCTTTCTTATCTTCTATATATTGCTGTATGCTTGTTTCTTTAATCAATCACTTGTTCTCACATACTAGTACAAGGGTTCAACCGTTCTCAACTTCCGCTGCACTACTCCAAGTCTCAAGTCTTTACAGCTGGGACTTAGTCTCTGCAAAAGATCCTAAGGGCTTTTCTCAGCCCAACACCAAGCCTACACAACTACCGGTATATATATAAGGGCAAATTCCTATGAAGTAGATGTTAAATTATATATTTGAGATATATATTATGGTAGGTTTGGTTGGTAGGTGTTACTTGATTCTACTGTAGATGGTACAACCTCCCCTCTTGTATCTCTTCTATTCCAACTTTCTTCTCCCATAACTTTCTCCTACCCTAAAACCTCTCAGCAAGCCCCCAAATTGGTTTTGGGCCTGTTTGATTCGTCAGAGTCCCCGACCTTCCCTTGGTATGGGTGTCAAAGTTACCTCCTTGAAAAAGGTCTGAAAAATCAGAGTAGCCTTCGATTTTTTGTCTGACCAATCAGAGTCGTAGCCAAACTTTTGTATGAGCCTTTTTTATGGTTCTTCATTAGAGAATGCACTACATTTCACTACATACACGGAATCAGTCGATATCCTGCATATCATGCTGAGGCGCTGCCGGCATATCGTCATGTACTCTCTTTTCCCTTCCTGCTGCTACTGGCCTCGGGCAGGGCGTTGCTAAGGGGCTTCCTCTTCTTATAAGCCCGCCAGATGGTGACCACCTCGTCCCAGTCGGGGTCATACTCTAGCTGCGATATGCACATCAGATCTCCTAGCCTAGTATCCTTGAGAGCCCCCCGCAACCAACTCTTGATGACGTTCTGGCGGGAGAATCCGCGCTCGCACTCGACAGTGCTCAACGGAAGGACAGCCACCACCCACAAGTTGACCAGATTGGGGTAGCTGTCCTCCAGTCTTGCGTCTTGAGCATGGCGCTCAGCCCCGCATGGAATGACTTGTCCGCCTTGGGAAGCGCAGCAAGGACGGGAACGAAGTTGCGGAGCTCGCTCTGGGCTTTGCATTTGTCTATACCTGATTAGACAAGGGCACACAAGAGAGGGAGAAGGGTTGGTTATCGAAAACAATACACAGCTAGTAAAAGATAGGTGTCTTGTTTCAGATACATTGCTGAAGGGATACTGGAAAGAGTAGACGGTGATTCACCTGGCAGAATCTCGTCCCTGTCTTCAGCGCGGTAGATGACCACGAGCGAGTTGAACCACTCGAGTCACTGCGTCCTCCGTGCCTGTCGGTCCCAGTTGGGCGGCCATGTGTCGACGCTGAATAGGCGCGCTCCCGATAGCTGCCGCAGATCGCCTAGGCGTTCGTCGAGGTTGCGGACCAGGCCCTCCGCTAGAGCCATGCACGCCATGACACTCCCATCGAGGTCGCTGGGCCCCGGGTAGTCCTCTTGGGGCTCTTCGTGCAGCTCGAAGGTGAACCGTGAAGGTCGGCCATCGGAGTCAATCCCCTCCACTGTCACTAGCTTGGACTTGCCGGGCCCGTGCTTGGCGAGGAACCGCGTCAATCGATCGTTGGGCCCGCTGGTGAAGTCGTCTCCGCAGTCCACGTAGCGGCTCTCTAGCAGTGAGGTCGTGCGGATGATCTGCGCGTGCACCGTTGTGTAGTCCAGCTGGTGGGTAGGGGGGCGAGGAGAGGTAGGGCATCATAGACGGATGTGTGGTTAAGGGACGAGCGGCAGAGACAAGCAACATCGACATGCATGCAAAGACAAGCGTTAAACATATTTACCTCCTGCTGGTGGAAGACCTTGCTGGGGACGTTCAGCAGCTCCAGCACGTCGGCGAGGAACATCAATAGGAGCCAGAAGCGGTAACTTTTGACGAGCGCGTACAGCTTGGCATCGTACTCCTGCAGCATGACCACGATGGCTGGAAGGACCTCGACCAGGCGGATGACCGCATCTCCGCGCGACAGCCAGCGGATGTTGTGGATGCCCTGGAGCTCGAGGTTCGTCGACATGAACACCTCTTGGAGCTCCAGGAACCGTTGATGCCAAGGGTTGGAGCGACCGAGCAGCTCAGTGATCTTGCGAATGATATTGTCCACCATGCTGAAGTCAGGGATCTCCTTGGCAACAGCCTTTGCCGCCAGTGCCTCTCTGCGTGGGATAAGGAGATGAGATGCAAACTAGGAAGCAAATTAGGGATTTGACTTATAAACAAAACAAGAAGCAAATATACATGACATGCACATAGCAAACGGATGACAAACCGATGGGCAATGCAATGACAAGAGACAAAGGCGGGCCCACAAGTCCAGAGGGCGATCCCATCATGACGACAACGCTGTCAGTGCTTATGCCAGAAATGCAGCCGAGGTCGACGCCAATCGCCAGCAGATGGGACAACAAGAGGGCGAGAAGCGATGCTGCATCCGCCTTATCCACTGTCAACAGAGACAGGTACTCGGTTACAAGCCGTCCTTCCTGGACGAACGTGGCAAACACGATCATGTGCTTGCCACGGCAGCGATCGGTGCTTTCGTCAAGGCTCAGGCCAATGTAGGGACTCGCCAGCAGGTGTTGGAGTTGAGTCGTCGGCAGCCACGTTGCCCGTCGCTTGTGTCAGCTCGCCAAAGCCGTACCTGTTACATGACACGCACAAGCCAAGTTGTTGTACGTTTCATATTCTAAAGACGAGACAGAGAGAAGTTCATAGTCACTGGGAGTTCTCACCAGTTATAGTACGTGCCGTAGGCCAGACTTCGGGAAGCCCTTGAAAATTGCGATGAGAAGGTATCGCACCAAACGAATCCATGTTTCCATGGGTTCGTTACACTTGGCGCTGAAATAGAGGGAGTCGAGCAGTGCGATGACTCACTCCTTGTCTTTGTCGGCCGCGCGGGGATGCATGTCGATCCGCTGCTGGTTCGACGCCAGTTGCAGAGATCGTCCTGCTTGGATATGGCGAGGCGATGCTTCTGCGTCCTGGCGTGCTTCTAGAATGACTGGGTCTGCACGTCCTTTGCTCCCTTGCCCTATTTTCCCGGTACGCCCTGCAGGTCCTGTATGCACTGCACATACACTGCACTTGAAGGCCGGGAGCCCATCGTCAGTTTTCAAGAGCATGAAGCCAAGGGAATCTGTCAGACCAACGAGAATTTGAAACGCTCTTGTGCCTCAGCATAGATGTCCTCGTTCGTTCTAGCAGGTGGACCTACCGCCAGACGATTCTGGCGTATCCGCAGGTACAAAGGGGCTCGGCACAGGCTCAGGCGGATCCTGGCATGTCGACGTGGAGGCGTACGGCAGAATCACCTGCCTGTACCAGAACCTCTTCGCCGCCGTCACCGACGGCGTCGTGGTGCCAGGTGACAGGCAGCGACAGGCAGGAAAGCAGCGGCATGGGGCTTGCATCCGCAGAATTCTTGCCCGCTGCGTCGGGAACAGGCCCATCGCCATCAGCAGGGGCAGCGTCACTAGGCTTCCTCTGAGGGCTACAATATGAGGCATCCGACTGCCGCAGGAACTTTAGGGCGGCAGGACCATCGCGGAAATTCTCGGGCACACCCAGTACTCTCCTTCTTCTTCGTCATAATCTGCCTCGTCTACGTCCTCATCGAGGTCGGCCTGCTCCATGGCCTGCAAGTGCGGTGGGAAAACAAACGCACTGAAAGAAACCGAGGGGCTACACGAAGCTTGGTTGAAGTTTTGCTAGAGGGGGGAGAAGCAGGGTCGTTTTCCCTGTCAGTAATGAACTGATGGAGAAGGAGGGGGTCTGCCAGCTCCCAACTCCATCGGCCGCGTGAGATGCTGTCCATGCATGAATGAACCAGGCACTCGTCGCGTCAGCATGGGTGCGGTGCCTTGTCTGTTGTGCCTCACCCAGCAAAATGCCTCTGGATTGGCGAAAACAGCCGTGTTTTGGTCAAGGACCAATCGGCTACTCGGGCTATCTCTGTGCTGGCGCCATCGCACAAAATTTGCCCGCCCGACGGCTCGGGCCGCGCCAGCGCAAATGTAAATCTGGCGTGATTGACGGTGACGACAGAGGTACTAGCGCAATCTCGCAACCCCCCCTCAAATGACGATATTACAGGAATCAAAGTCCCCCCCCCCATACAAGGATGAAGCATCAGAGTACACTTGTAAAAAAAGTCTGAAAAATCAGTGTAGGTACATAAAACTTCTCTGAAAAATCAGAGTAAACATAGAAGAAAAAAGTAATTGGGATCAGAGTACGCCAAAAAAAAAAACTATGAATTAGAGTAAAAAGTCTGCAATTTGGGGGCCTGCCTCTTAGCCATTCATGGCGTCTTCTCTACTTCATAGGAAATTGTCAACTTATACATACATTCTGCATGTAGAAGTTATAGGCTAGAATAGGTGTATGTTCTTAGAGAGTACAACCCAACCCGATATCTTGTTTGTTCTCCCTTGTTTCTAGTTATTCTAGTATTCTAACATGGTATCATGAGTAAGTTAGGTCCACCCACCCACTTCCGCCCCGCGCCCAAGCCTATCGCGCCTCGCCGGCCCCTATCGCGCCCACCCGGCCCCTCCCGCGCCATAGCTGGCCCTCGCGCCTAGCCGGCCCCACGCGCCCTAGCCGCCCCCCCCCCCCCCCCCCCCCCCCCCCCTCAAGCCTAGCCGGCCCTCCCTCGCGCCATAGCTGGCTCCTCGCGCCGTCGCCAGCCCCTCACGCCGTCGCCGGTCCTTCGCGCCTAGCCGGCCCCTCGCGCTGTAGCCGGCCCCTCGTGCCCTAGCCGGCCCCTCGCGCCCTAGCCCGACCCTTCGCGCCCTAGCCGGCCCCTCGCGCCCAACCGACCTCTCGCGCCCAGCCGCCCCCCTCGCGCCCTAGCCGGCCCCTTGCGCCCTAGCCGGCCCCCTCGTGCACCTCGGCCCCCCTTGCGCGCCCTCCGGCTCCTCGCCGCGCCAGGTCCCTGTTCCGGAGAGTTCTGCTGCTAACGTCCGCTGTATCGTCGTACAGCTGAGTACTTGTGTCCCTGTGCCGCTGCGTCGCTGTGTCCCTGTGCCGCTGTATCGCTGTGTCCCGGTGCTGCTGCGGTTTCACGATGGCGGACCCATGCTACGTCTGGACGCGGAGGGGCAAGCGATCGACTTCGCCGCCTAGCTTGTCGATCTTCGCCGGCACCTCAACAAGTTAGCACCAGGATGGGCACTCC